CCTCCATAGCTTACCTGTCTAATATCAATCTGTCAGGAGATAGTGACAGAGTGAACAAATATGTTAAAAATATATTTTTTAGAAAAGTTACATACTGCACCTTTAATATTTAACATGTTGATTTCTTTTGTTTTCTTGTTTCATTTCAGTTATTTATTAAGTACACATTTTATTGTACTGCTCTGGAAAGGATTTTGTTTTAGAGGGATTTTCAAGAGTTTTATAAATAAAAACTGAACTGAATCAAATTTATTTTACCACTAGAGGTCTCCAATATTTTTCCTCCTTCCTTTCCTTGTTTTTTTTATAGAACCTAAGAGGCAAAACAGCACATTTCATACAGACTGAAATGTCTCATAAAGACACATTTTAGCTCTTCATCTATTTTAATCTGTATTTAAGTTGGATAAATTTATAGATTTGAGAACTACAAACATTCTTTTTGGAAATAGTTTAATTCTGCTGACAGAAACATAACAAAAAACCCTGGAAATGTTATCTTAAGTATTTAGCCACGTTATAAAAAGAGTGATTCATTCTCAATAGGTAAAGTATTATATCGATACCTTTGTTGTTCGTAGAACATTATATAGGTCAGATAGAAGAATAACGATGTCAAACAGAAAAATAGTGTTTCCCTAAATTCTCCGGGAGAAACTATTCATTGTGCAGTTGCAGAGACGTTTATTCCAAATAAACATTCATTTCTTCTGTAGCTCACCTATCTTCCTGTGCAGGCCGTCGGCCCTGAAATCTCGGGAGAACTTCTCCATGTAGCAAGAGAAACTCCAGAAGGCGTCGACCTCCGAATCGAGGACCTCCAGGAAGCGGCTGCACAGGTCGTTCATCCCCTGAGCATAACTGACCTCTGGAGCGACAACAAACGCTGCGTCAGGAGAAGAAAACCTGCACTGCTCTGATTGTGTCCGAGCTACTGACCTGGATGAAAAGCAGCATAAGTGATGAGAATGTTCCTCAGCACCAACAGGTTGCCTAAACCTTTATCCCTGCAGGCACATTGAAATAATTAGTGTTGAACAAAATCTGTAAAAAAAAGGTTTCACAAACCTGCTCATCACCAATAATGCACAGGATTAGGGCTGCCACAAACGATTATTTTAATAATCGATTAGTCGTCGATTAATCGATTAATTGTGGCAGCCCTACACAGGATCAGTTGAAAACACGTCTTTTCCTTTTTCATTTTTCCGGCAGCAGAAATCAATCTTTGCTGACACAGAACTTTAATCTTCATCTGGTTCACTGGTTAGTCGTGTCCAACTTTTGCAAATACCGCTGTCTAGTAGCCCTAGGAGTCATGGCTATACTGGCAAAAACAACTTGGGAAAACAATCGCAGTCGATCCGTTTAATACTCCCCCTCCCTCACTTTCGATGTCTGTCATGGCACCTCCATGTGATTTGGTTACGTTGTTGCAAAGGGTCAATAAGGACCGTTAACTTCATTATGAAGTGGTTATAAGGATCAAAGTGCAACAAACAGCCAATACTGGCCAACCACAAGAGGGGGCTGTCATTTATAGAGCTGTGTGTTGTGGGTCTTTGGTTTGATCTTTAAAAAACAGCAATGCAAATATTCAGAAGGAGTTATGGGACCTGTTGGAAAAATATGCGTTGTTCAAAATGGTATGTGCGAATAAACAGGATTCAGCTGGATTTCTTGTTAAAACTTTATTTGGCCTCAGTTTACAACCTTGGGCCAAATCAAAACAAACACAGGAGCTCTGCTCTGAGCAGACTCTGCAAACCACTGACAACTTCTTTCTACTATAATAATGAATTGACCTTATAATGTTCATCCCTTCCTGGTTACACCCCAGAGGTGTTACCTTTAACGTCAGATGTCAGAATGTCACTCAGTTTTGTTTAGGCTAAGAGAAAGAACATAAGACACACACCAACTCTTTGTCAGCTTCAACCTTACAGACTGAAATGATCAGAAAGTATAAAATACAAAACTGAATCTAATTTTCAGTTAATCAGTTACAAAATTTCTTCAGAGCCATGACTGGTACTAAAGTTCAGTCCACTTGACACTGCGCGTGTTCAAAGAAGACCACATCACGGCAGTCAGCAACGACAGTTAAGTAGCTTTTACTCTAGCAGTGCAATTGCAACTCTAAAGGGCTCGACACACAGGGAGCGACAAACGACAACGATTAACGGCTGTCACCGCAACCAGGGTGAAACCCGACACACGGGACACGATAGCGAAGGCAACGTTGCAAATCGCTCTCTCGGGTCGTTCATCTTCATGAAATTTGATTGGTTCTTCTGCTGCCTCTTGTAAAGGTTATTGGTGGTTTGCAAAAAAAGGGGGGGGGGGGTGCAATACGGACGTGTAAAATAAACAAATCTTGGGATGCTAATGATATTGAAAACAAACGCACACCAAGATACAATTTTATGAGGAAAAACTTACCAGATAACTTCACCCTGGCGCCAACAAATTCCCACAAAGCTACCTTTCTTAGTAATCACTTGGTGAAAGGTCATATAAAACTGGAACGTTTGACAGAGCTAAAATAACGTTGAAAGTGTTAGCTAACTGCAGTGTGTAGCATACTCTCCGCTCATTGGTCAGTCAATGAAACCCTCGCTGATTGGTTGTACGCTAAGCGACAGTGACAAAAGTTGAACATTTTTCAACTTCCATATGTTGCGTCGCAAGCTCGCGTGTGCACGTCTACATGTATGAGCATGGAATTTCACATGCACGATTCTCGCTGATCGCTTGGCTGGAGGATGGCGAGCGATTGTCGCCTCATCGCACAAGTTCCATAGGAAATGAATGGAGAGCGAGCGACGTCGCCTCCCGTGAGTCAAGCCCTTAAAATTGCGAATGCTGAAAGAGTGCTGAACGTGTGTTTAACGTATCGACCAATCGCATCTCCCTGTGCCACTTGGGAGTCCCCAAAGGACAAGAAAGTTTGTCCTCTGAAGGTTAAACAGGCTGGTTGTAGGGACCACAAACAGCCACAGTAAAGGCAGTTTGTCGTCTGAAAGCACCTTACAGAAAGAGGAGTACCTGAGGTCAAGGGAGATGTTCATGTTGGAGAATAAAACTGCCGGTCAGCGCTCAGTTTGATACATGTTAGAATGAGCGCTCAAGTTTAGTACAATGTGTTCAGTGATAGCTTCCTTTCAGGGTTCTTGAGAGCGTTCTGTCAACTTATTATCAATCCAGGGTCACAATTCTGGTTGAAACCAGAGACCTGTTTCAGAGCAGGTCTGACTGGAATGCTTCCAGCATTGTGGTTCTGACACGTCACTCTTATTTGCACTGAGAAAGGAAGGAGTCAGGTGGAGTCGTTTCCTCCGACAGCTGCTGATAGGAGCTGTAAAGTCCTGGCTGAGTAAGGAGCTGCACTGCTTCAGCTCTGCAGTATTTTAGGTGCAGCATGTCAGACAGGATCTTGCAACTTTCTCTTACTTAAATATTAGACAAAAGAAATGAGGAATTTGTTCTGGTGTTAGTTATTATCAGGGTATGTTTTTTCAGGTAAAGAACTGGCGACATTATGGACTCACTGGTAGTAGCTGAGGTCTCTGTTTGTTCGAGGGACGTCCTTATCGATGATCCGTATGGCTTCTCGCAGCTCCTCCTGGTCAAACGTGACACGCTCAAACAGAATCTGTCAACGGAAGGAAAAGGTCCAGACACAAAAAATCGGACAAATTAAAAGTTTTAGCACCGTGTTAATGTCTGATAAACACCTTCAGTGTGATTTTTGCTGATTCTACTGGAGCAATGTGAACAGTCAGCGACACATAGAGAACCTAAACCTGTGCAACCTTAATGAAAGCACTTGCATTAATCATATCAGGAACTTAAAATAAAAAAATAGCCTTTCTGAGCATATGTTCCTTAATGGTAGTAATGTGAGGTTACATTCTTTCTTGTAATTTGTAAACTTCCAATAAATGTCTATTATTGATTAAGACTCTCAGCTTTTGTGGAGCTTTTATGTTTTTGTCCTTATTAAAATCTATATTTCCAATGAAAAGTATAACAAGTAAAGCTCCCTGACTGCTGTTGGTAAGAACACACACTCTGAACACACCGAACTGCTGAAAAGGTCAAACTGATTCCAGAGTAAATAAATGACAGTTTGTTTAACAAAATTCAGTCCCGTTTGGTCATTTTCTCACTACTGCCAAGTTAAAACAACTGATACAAGATAACCAACAAAACAGGATGTTAAAAAATGTAAAATCTGTCTTCTCTGGAGTCGAGATGCGAGGCAGCAGCTTGAGCAGGAAGGCACAGACATCTCTTCCAGCTCAGCGGAGAGGATTCCAAGGTGTTCCCAGGTCAGATGGGAGACGTGACTTTACGAACACACGTTGGTTCATTCAGAAGCCCCATGGAGGCAGAGAGGGCAGGACTGAAACACCCCCATAAMTGTAGAACCTCTGCACCTCAGAGTGAGGTAGTGACATACCACCCTCCTCCTCAGAGACCCCCACAGACCCCCTTCCCAACAAGAGAAACTTCACGGAGCACGACAGCAATAAGGTTTCTTTTTAAATTCTGTACACTTCATGCAGGGGGAGGCGGTTGTCAGCTGCAGACAACAGTGCAGGCTGCAGCGCAAAGCAGGAGGAAATGGGGGGAGGGGTGGTGATTCTAGAATCACTTTTGATCAGCTGACTCATTTATATAGACCTCAACATTCATGAGGTACTTCGAATTGACAGTTTATGGTTGAATGTGGGCTTGTGGAGCAGGGGTTCTCAAACTGGGGTCCCAGGACCCCCAGGGGTCTGCGAGCTGTATCTTGGGGGACCTCATAAAATTTCAATAAATTGTTAATTTGTTTTTTATTTAAAAAATATGCATGTGAGGAACAATGCACAAGTAAAACAAACACACTAAACCAAACAACAAATACTATTCCCATGGAATTCAGGGGTTAAAATCATAGTAAATTATTTTTAAAACAGCATGGGGTTTGTGAGGGGGTCCCGGGAAATTGTTCACCCTTGTAAAGGGGTCCCCAGACCCAAAAAGTTTGAGAACCCCTGGTGTAGAGGGCAGAACCTGAGGTGGGACCTTGACCCAAATTCTGAGGTGCAGCTGTGATCTATAAAGGAAAAATGCTTGAAGGTGTGCGTGCGCACCGTTTTATAAATCTGAATTATTTTTTTTTTGGCGTATGCCATTTTCCCCTTTTGGCCATACGTTCACTTTTAGTATGAATTCTATGCAGTTCTTTATAAATGAGGCCCCAGATATGTATCCAATCTAATACCACATACTGAAAAGGCCTGGGTGACATGGGGCACAAAAGTCAGATTTGGGTTGCATTTGTCGTCCTAATAAGAGGTGAGAGTCATTCTGCGACTCCTGTTGTTCTCATTAACAGACTGAGTGACAGAAACAGTCAGAGGAGCTAAAAGTTTCCCACACCTCGTTTGATTCCACACTGATTAATATCCTCTAAAAGCATGTTTGAGCGCAGTAAGAGAACACCTCTATCAGTGACTTCTGAACCGTCAGAAGATAACTCCGCCCCAAGGCGAAATTTGAAAAATGCATCAAAGTGGGTAGGGGAGGGGGTGTGGGTAGGGG